CGCACCCAATAAGATATTACTGAAGATAATTCAAAAACAGTTGCAGCAGTATATTGACAGAGCACTTCCAGAGGTGTAAGGTGGATTCAGAAGAGGATGTGGAACAAGGGATATCAGAGCTGCAGTCACATAGATCTTGGCTCAAGGCAAAGAATACCAGAACAACGTTTCCTTGTGTTTTATTGTCTATGCAAAAGCATTTGATTGTGTGGATCATGGCAAATTATGGATAACATTGAGAAGAATGGGAATTCCATAACACTCAATTGTACTCTTGAGGAACGTGTACATTGACCAGGAGGCTGTCGTTTGAACGGAACAAGGGGACACTGCATGGTTTAAAATGAAGAAGGGAGTGTGTCTGGGTTGTATCCTTTTCCCATACTTATTCAATCTATATGCTGAGCAAATAATCCGAGAAGCTGGACTGTATGAAGAAAAACGTGGTATCAGGATTGGAGGAAGATTCATTAACAACCTGAGATACGTTGATGACACAACTTTGCTTGCTGAAAGTGAAGATGACTTGAGGCACTTTTGATGAAGATTGAAGAATACAGTCTGCAGTTTAGATTATGTCTCAATATAAAGAAAACAAAAATCCTCACAACTGGACCAATAAGCAGCATCACGATAAATGGAGGAAAGATTGAGGTTGTCAAAGAATTGCTTAGTTCTACAATTGACGCTAAGGGAAGCAGCAGTCAGGACATTAGATGACGTGTATCAATGGGCAAGTGAGCCACCAAGGAAGTCTTTCAAGTTCTGAGGAGCAAGGATGTCTACTTGAGGACTAAGGTGTGCTTTATACAAGCCGTGATATTTTCAATCACCTCATATGCATGTGAGAGCTGGACAATGAATAAGGAAGACGGAAGAAGAGTTGATGCTTTTGAGTGGTGGTGCTGGTGAAGAATGCTGAAAGTACCATGGACTGCTGAAAGAACGAACAGATCTGTCCTGGAGGAAGTGCACCCGAAATGTTCCTTGGAAGCGAGAATGGCCAGACTTCGTCTCACCTACTCTGGTCGTGTTGTCAGAAGGGACCATTCCTTGGAGAAGGATGTCATGCTTGGTAAGGTGGAGGGTCGACGAAAGAGGGGAAGGCCTTCAATGAGATGAACTGCAGGGTGGCTGTGACAATGGGCTCAAGTATAGCAAGGATTGGGGAGCTGGTGCAAGATTGGTTGGTGTTTCGTTCTGCTGTACATGGGTTGGATGTGATTCGACAGCATCTAACAACAACAACAACATAAGGCGATGCATAGACTGCTGTAAGAACAAACAAATCTGTCTTGGATGAAGCACAGCTGGAATGCCTCTTAGACGCAAGGATGGTGAGACTTTGCCTCTTATCCTTTGGTTATGTTGGCAGAACTTCCTGGATATCCCCAGTCAAAACGGTATGAATTGTTGGATGGAAAACCTAGTTAGTTGTTCTGTAAACTGTCACACAAATCCCAGTAAAAAAAAATTAAAAAGACAGAAAGGCTTATGGCGCATATACCTCTATTCTGACACATGTGGAGTTGCCATGCTTTGGCATCAGCTCAACGTCACTGACCCAACAGCAATTGGTTTAATGCCTTTCGAGCATTTTTCAAAATCAGCACAGAAGTCTCATAAAGGGTAAAAGGGGTTTAGTTTGGCCAGTTGAGTTCACGGTTAACAGAGATAAGTAATAATAAGGCAGTATCTCTTTTAACCACTTCAGATTGTTCCCGTGTCTCCTTGATGTTAAAAATATTTAACAACGCATGAGACTGATCATTAGAATAACAGTGGTTGTGTTATAGCAACACAATTTTAACCTATTATTTACTGAATTTGGAGGTGAGAAATGGTGTTCTAGGAGCTGGGGTCAAGGTGGAGCATGTGTTTTTATCATTTGGTATAAAGGACCAATATTGTGAAAACTGTTAGTATTGTACCTGGGTGTAACGGCTAAATATCAGGCCTGTCGTGAGATTAAAATGAGCTGAAACACCCAACGTGTACGCCAAGAAGTATCAGGTAACCTGTCATTATTTTAAGAGGCAAACTATCCTGCATTCTTTGTTTTTCATTAAAGAAGTGGTTACCTAGATGACTGTGGTTTATTTCTATTAAAGTAGAGTCTCAATTCACTTTCTTTCTCAAAATGTGGGGATATATTTTCCAATTCCATTAACTAAAACATTGGAGAAATATTTCAAGAATTCTGAATAAGCCAGGCCCTAGTTTAGCAGCTAGAGATCCAAAAAATAATAAAAATCTGCCTATTCCGTTACTTTTTCTTTGAAAAGCTGCTCCAAGTGCATTTGTGTATGAGGTTCCTTTTTCCTTTATTATTAGTGTCTTTATTTCTTTTCTTTTCTTTAACGTTACTATGGCCACTCCTTGGAAGGAACGTTGGGCAATCTACTTCTGTAGTGATACCGCCTTGGAAACCCAAGGAGGGGTCGCTATGGGTTGGGTCCAACTCGATGGCATATGACAACAACAACAACAACATAGTTAAAATACACCTAACAGTCACAGTTTGATCCATTTTACCATGTAAAAGTCAGAAGTATTAGTAAGTGTACATTTATAATACTATGTTACTATCACCTCTATCTACTTCCAGAACACGTTCATCTCTCCAGACCCAGAATCCATTAGGTTGTCACTCCCCTTTCCTCCGTCTCCCCAGACCTTGTCAACCACTAATGTACTTTCTATTTCCATTAGTTTTCCTATTCTGGATAGTTCATATTCAGGGAATGCTCTGGTTACCTAGTGTCACTCTGACAGAAGTATACCACCAGTGGGATGGCTTGAACAAACAGGAGTTTATTCTCTTAGAGCTGGGAAGCTAGAAGTGTAAGTTCAAAGTGCCAGGCTCTAGGGGCTGTGTGAAAGGCCCTCAACCTTGGGCTCCTGCTCTGCCTCTTGCTCCTGGTCCAATGAAGCTAGAGGCATCTCTTCACTCAGGCAGTTACTGGCTGCTGAGGCTAACAAGTCCAAGGTCGACAAATAAAATGGCACAGTCCGGATGTTACCAAATGTCACAGCAGGCCATTGATTCAAGTCCACTACAAGTCCCAGGATCCGCAGAGCATGGCAGGCTGCTGAACAACGACACGGCTGCATGCAGGGTCCAAGTGTGCTATAAGCTAGAGACCGTTCCCAAAGCTGCTTCTTATATACGGGAAGCAAGCCACATGCCCAAAGGAGGTACTCAGCTACTTGTGGTGGATCCCACCATGGAGTTGATTGCCAGTCTCATCATGGGGATTAACTACCACCAGCTTCCCAACCACTCAGCCAGGCCCAACCAACTTGACACACAACTTTAACTACCACAGGGAATAATTCAGTATGTGGTCCGTTGTTTTTAACTTTTTACACTCAGCACAATGTTTTCAAGGTCCATCTAACCTGTCTCAGGTATCATGTTTGCCTTTCTTATTATAAATTTTGGAATGGTAAATTATTCTCGTCTATTAAATTATTTCTATTCTTAGAAAGTCTCTGTGAGTGCAATTTAAACATTTGCTTTTATATAAAGTACATACTTTAAATTGTGTCAAGTAGCATTATGTTTCAATTTTATTTGTGCCCTGAATGCTGAATCTTATTGGCTGGCTGGGTACAAATTACAGGTTTGTATCATGCTTACCTCTTGACTGCAAGTTGTAGATTATTGTTTTAGAATTTCTCATAGTAAGTATCATAACGTTAATTGAATAGAGTAGGTGTGTATTATGCTTGCATATACTGCAGCATTCTTAATTATTTTCCTTAGGAATGTATGTGTCACTAGAATCTAGTGTTGTTCAAACTCTACTTTTAGTTTTAACAGTCTCTTTTGTGTAACTTATACTTGTTTCATTTGACATATATGATTTAAAGGTCTGTTTGGGGGGTACATTCTTTTGTTTAATTTGGGAAAATGAGACCTTTTAATTTTCAAGTAAAGCCAAAGGAAAATATAAACACTTAAATTGGGCACTGTAATTTATTAGTTATGGACAAGAATTTAGGACTGATTTGTAAAGCATTAAAAACAACAAACAAACAAAATACGTCTATAGTTCTGTGCAGGAAGAGCATGATCTGAAAAGCACAACAATGTACAGGTTCTTTATTTATTTCTTTAAGTTGTCCCTTTGTAGTATTAATCATTTATGGAAATCATATAAGTTCCAAGTTCTCTTTTTTCCTTCTAATGGGACAAGTTTTAGGCCTAATATTAGTTGTTCCAGAATCGTCCATTACATTTAGTTATAAGTATGTATTAATATTGTGACATTTTAGCCTTGCATAGGTGACAGAATTCTCAATTATTTACTAGGGGAAAAATAGCATAGGACTTACCGTTATAATTTAGTTATGAGCAGTAATCAACGATGATTACTATATATTCAGTATCAAATCTTTCTCTGTGTGTGTGTGTGTGTGTGTGTGTGTGTGTGAGAGAGAGAGAGAGAGAGAGAGAGACAGAGAGACAGAGAGACAGAGAGAGAGAGAGAGAGAGAGAAGGGGGAGGGGAGGGACAGGGAGGAGAAGAAGGGAAGGGGGAGGAGAAGAGGTTCTCTTCCCACCTTTCTTAAAAGTATTGGCATATAGAGGTAATAGTAACTCAGTTCATTATTATCGCTGTTGCACCCTCATTCTTTGCTCTTCAGAAAGAAAATACTTTAATTAGTAATAAAGTAGGTTTTGTATTTCCGAAGGAGTGGAAGGGTTGCCGGTGCCGGACTGGAAGTAGAGCATGTGGACACTTAGCTGTCACCGTGCTTAGTGTGTTTGGCTGGCAATCAGTAGGCTAGCTGGCTGGTCAATGGCCAGGGCGGGGTCCAAGGGAGGTGTTCAGGGCGGGGACATGATTATTTCAGTACAAAAGTGAGGGTAACGAAGTCCCAGGCAGTAGAAATAGCTCTGAGTGGCAAAAATAATTTCCCAAACAGTTACATTTTCGAAATCTTCCCGGCGCCCGCGTCCAGATTTTAAGGGAGGACTCATACGTTTCCGCCATGGCCAGAGTGAAGAGAGATGATTACAGCCCGGCAGCCCGACCCGCTATCAGCACCTTTGGGACCAACCCTTCCGTACCGTGGAGGAACGATCTTAGTTGCAATTTTCCGTGGGAAACTGGAGGAAACGGGAGAGAGAGCGGCGAGGCCCGGGTCAAGCGGCCCTTGAACGCCTTTATGGTGTGGTCGCGAGACCAGAGACGCAAGATGGCTCTAGACAATCCCCAGATGCGAAACTCAGATATCAGCAAGCGGCTGGGATGGCAGTGGAAGACGCTTACAGACGCGGAGAAATGGCCATTCTTGGAGGAGGCGCGGAGGCTGCGGGCCCTGCACCGACAGAAATACCCCGACTATAAGTATCGCCCTCATCGGAAGGCCACGATGCTACAGAAGAGTGTCAAGCTGCTGCCCGCAGGCTCCTCGTCAATACTGTGCAGCCAGCTGCACGTGAACCCCAGGTTGCACACCTTCACACACACCGATAGCTGTACACAGGCCCCACGCTCACGAATGGAAGACCAGCCACGCTGCTCACCGTGCATGAACACCGGCCAGCTCACTGCTCCAAGAGCTGCTCCGCAGCAACTCCACACGCATACAGGACAGCCCCGTGACACTGGTTAATGCAGACTTCCGCAGGTGCTCCCTTTTACTGTAACTTACAGCCCGGACTTTCTCATCTTTTTCCATATTGATTTTCTTGCTCGCGCTAACAAAGCGATTATTCTCCATTCTACTGTTATTTTAGCTCTAACTTTTGTTTGCAAATAAAGGATGGGAACGCGTTTAATCTCCGACATTCTGAAGAGATACAATTTATATGTTTGGTTGATTACCAGAATGCTAATCAGGCCCTCTGTCTGGTGGCTTAGTGCCTAAGGCACTTGACTGCTAACTAGAAGGCTGGAGGTTCACACCCACCGGCCACTCCTCGGAAGGAAGGCTGGGCAATCCACTTCCGTAGTGACACCGCCTGGGAAATCCGAGGAGGGGTCGCTATGAGTCGGGTCCCACTCCATGGCGGTGCCGTGATCTGATACCATTCTAAGTGCTTAGCAAAAATATACTGATAAATCACAGGAGATGCACACAGGAGAGACAGAGACAGAGACTGTGCTACTGTGCTGTTAAAAACGTTGCATTTTGATGGAAAACTCGGTGCAGTCCTTTTCAGAGCGTCGAATGGGAGTCTTTGACGTACTTTGCAGTGACTGTGAATTGTAGGTAACTGACTGCCTCTTGGCTGATACTTTTCATTGACTTCCCTCCCTCCTTTTTGAGTTTTCATCCCTTCACACCTCATAAATCTGTGTGCTTAGACTTTGCCCCTGAACTCCTTACAACAGTTGTCTGGTCAAATAAAATCTTCAACCCATTTTCATCTTTATGTCTGTTTGAGAATCATGCTTTTACCTTAAAGTCCAAAATAATTCTGAATTTAATCTTTTAACAATGGCCCTCTAACTACTTTCATTGCCTTCTAACTTTTAAGCATGTGGAATAACAAATAGGCATAGAGTGTTGAGAATACGAATTATTCACATGGGAGGGGCACAGTTTACAAGGAAAAACATTGGTTACTAAAGCAGAAATAAATGGACTGACAAAATGGCACAAAAGAACTTCAAAACATCAAGATCAACTTTCCAACACATATATTCCAAAATGACTTTTTAAAACTGAAATGTTAAATCTAACATACTATGCATTAGAAATCTATGTCATGCTCTTACAAGAAGGCACAAGGTAAAAAAAAAAAAAAAAGTTAGTAAACAACTGTGTAAAATGCCTTGCAATGTTTAAAACCACTCTTTCACTCACACAGAAATAACCAGTAGTGTGACCTCCCATCACCAGGCTGGATAAACTGTTTTACCATTTCTTGAACTTGAAGTAAAGAAAACATTTAAAATATTATGTGTAGCTTCTTCTGCTTCATTGAATTTGATGACATTCAGCTTTTTTTTTTTTTTTAAATTGCTGTGTGGAATCCATTCTATTTTGATGGACACTTTTTGATTCTGGCTGTTTCAAATAGTTCTGGTCTTCGTGCATTTTTCTATCTGCCCACGGGAAGACATGAACAAATATTTCTCTAGGGTACCTACCTACCAGAGGAAATGGTGTTTCCACATATACTTCTAGCTTTAGTAGTTACAGTGCATTTCTCTACTGGGCAATTTTCTTCACAATACTTTTATTGCTTATAATTTCTGTAGTTGTTGAGTCTTTTGCTGTTTTCAGATACATGATCCTTCTTGATTTATTTTTGCCTGTAAGAGTATTTTAAACAATATTGGCAGCAAGCATTCTTGTTTATCTGTGATTGTAAATAAAAATCTAGACAATTAAGTTTGCTTTTGTTTTTAATGGAAATTTGCTTTATTTAAAAATTTCCACATACAAAAGTTATTAAGAGGGAGCCAAGGACCAAAGGCTTGCTATGAGTCAGAGTCGACTCAAACGGCACCTAATAACAGCAGTAGGGGTCAAAGGGTGCCCTGTGTGGAGCAAACAGTTAGTCACTCAAGTACTACCCTAAAGGTAGTAGTTCCAATCCGCCTAGAGTTGCCTAGGAAGACAGCCCTGATGATCTTCTTCTGAAAGGTCACTGCCTTGAAAACCCTGTGGAGCAATTCCTCTCAGAAAGCAAGCACTCATCAGGAGCTGACAACAGTGATCAACACAGAAGCGTGGCCTCTAAAAGGAAACCATTTGGATTTAATTCATTTCTTTGTCACATATTAGACCTGACCTTACATGATTTACTTTACCTCTTTGGGTCTTAATTTCCTCACCTTTACCTAATAGCAGTAGGAATAACAATTTTAAAATAAGACAATACAATCTCACTTGGGTACTGTGAGGACTAAATGAATCAAAATACATAAGGATGAAATGGGTAAATATATGTAAAGTACTTAAAACAGAGGTTGGCTTTAAAGAATATGTAAAGAACATACTAAACCCCAAACCAAACTCACTGCCATGGAGTCGGACCCCACTGATAGCGACCCCTCCTTAAGTTTCTGAGGCGGTGTCACTACGGAAGTAGATTGCCTAATCTTCCTTCCAAGAAGTGGCTGGTGAACCGCCTGCCTTCTGGTTAGCAATCAAATACCTTAGGTACTATGCTACCAGAGCTCCTAAGAACTTGCTAAATACCAGTTATTAGCAATATGAATATAATTGCTCAATCAAGAAAATATTTTAGTGCAAGGCTAATGTAGATGTCCAACACTGATTTATTTAAGTAGATACTCATTCATAACCATGGAATTAGGTAATATTTTTCAACCCGGTGGTACTGTGAGTAAGGCCACATCCCCGAGGAAACTCCCTTTCAACAGAATGGATGCTCATAGAACATCTTGTCACTGAAGTAATGACATCACAACTGCTTAAACCACTTAGAATCATGGTTCTGCCAACTTGACACACAACCTTAACTGTCACAAATATCTCTTCTAAATTGTTTTGTAAATGCTCTATTCTTTTTCACACGTGACCACTGAAGTCTCTATAAGTAGCCTCTTACAGGTCAGCTAGTTTGTGTGTGTGTTTTTCAATGAATTTTATCTATCTGGTTATGAAAGATATGCACAGCAAAACAGGCACCTACTCAACAGTTTCTACATATACAGTTCAGTGGCATTGATACATTCTTTTGAGTTGGGCGACCTCATTCTCACGCTGCAGTCCTCAATTGTTCCTTCTCCATTAATATAAATTCACAATCCCCTGTGGTTCCTATCTAATATTTCTGGTTACTGTTATCAATTTGATCCCATAAAGATAGCTCTTAAAAGAGCATCATGCTCAAGACAGAAATGGTTTACTATTTAGGGTAAACTCTTGTTTGGCTTTAAGAAGACTTGAGAGGATAGTTCTGGTTTAAAGTGTATCTCAGGGCAATGATTTTGGGGGTCCATCCAGCCTCCATGAATCAAGGGATTTGGATTCCATGAGAATTTGCAATTCTGTTCTGCAATTTCCTACTTTTGATCAGGATTCTTCTCTAGAATCTTGGATTAAAATGTTTAGTAATGGTAACCAGGCACAACTGTTCTGGTCTCATAGCAATAGAGACAGTTGCTTGTGGAGGCCATCAGTCAGACATTCCATTTCCTCCTATTCTTCACTCTCTTTCTTCCTCTGTTGCTTTAGTTGATTAGAGACCAATTGTTGTATCTTGGATGTCTCTTTGTAAGTTTTAAGACCCAGAAACCACACAATCAACTAAAGATAGCAGGGAAGCTGTGAGCGTGTTATTTAATGGTTAAAAACACATTACATAGGCTAGACCATGAAACCACAACCCTAACCAAACCAGGCAACCAAATCCCATGAAGTATTTGGGTGTACCCAAGCAGTAGCAGTAGTTACTCCCCCCACACCCTTTTTTGGTTATTATTGAAATTCTGCCTTCTGCACAATTTTGACCAATTCAGCTTTCTGCCAGTGCACAACTTCTCGACAGAACCTACAATAATTGGCTAGGCAGTCCTATCCTTATTCAATGTGAATTTTCACCATAAATCAGAACTCAGTGCTCCAAAAGCAATCATGTCAATCCTTTTCCTTCCTTCCCACCTCTGGTAACCATTACTAAATTCTGGTCTCTATACATTTACCCTTTCTTCTTTTTTGTCTGTAAGTGAGGTCATTCAATATTTGTGCTTTTGTGATTGACTCATTTCACTCAACCTAATGTCTCCCAAGCTCCATCCATATTGTAGCACATATCAAGACATCACATTCTGTACTGATTGAGTAGTATTTCATTGTAATTGTATACCACATTTTGTTGACCCATTCTCAGCCAGTGTTTTCCCAGGGCTTCCTTAAATGCCTGGAGGCAAGATAAGATAACAATACTGAAGGGAGAGAAACATAGCATAACAACAAAACACAAGGACAAAAAAAGTCAATACTGTACCAGGCTGTGTTGATTGGGGCACTGCTTCAGTGTTTAACCAGGTCATTGATATCTCTCCTTACACCCTTCTGTCTTATTTTGACAATCGCTAAGGACAGCTAGAGTTAAAAGCTTATAGTCTATCAGTTCCAGCAAGATGGTAGAATAGGCAAAAATGCTACCCAGACCCTCTTACAACAAAGCAATGAGAAACCATTTGAAACTGATACAGAAGACAATCCTGGAACACTAAGTTTTGAAGGGAAGGATAAAGAAGTGGATTAAGTACCAAACAGCAGAAGAACTTGAATGGAAACCTTCCCTTGCTGTTGAAAGTTTTTGATTCCGTTCCAGAGTGAGTATGGAGAAAAATGGAGCCACAGATTGCTGGCTATCCTGAGGAGGTGGCCATTTTGAATAGCTGCAAGCAGTGATCTAGTAGTAACATAAGAATCTTTGTTCACCAAAGATTGCATGGGCAAGGACCGCACTGGTGCCTGACAACCAGAAAGGAAAACGGTGAAGAAGGAGCCAAACAAACCTGTGGATTTCTGGCTGTCCTAAGGCTGCAGCCATTTGGAATACTTGCAAGCAGTATGGACACTTTGAATACACGGAATTGGCAGTTCTGAACTGGACAGCAAACTAAGAGTAGGCTCCACTTGCCGAGGACAGCATGGGCAACTGCACTGGGAAGCTGATGACTAGAAAAGCATGACATTCCCCTTGTAACTCTTACA